AAGGCTCTCACAGAATTTTCCTGTATTTTCCAACATTCTGACTAAAAATAAACATTAAGAATTATTGCTAGTTTCTTCAAGTTATTGTCTATGTGAATGTTTAACTTCAACGTTATCGGTAGAGTGTGTATATTACGAGTTGCTTAGTCATCTATAGCAAGGCATCATTCCTCAGAAGTGAAAAGTTCCAGAACTTTGCCAACTGGAATACTTTATAAATGAGTAGCAGTCTGTCACAAATATGTGAAGGTTTATATCTTGTAAAAGTTTTGTGCATTTTGCTTAGATTATCAGTTACACAAAGCTTGCGAATTTTATGTAGAAATGGAGGCTTAGAATATTTACAGTAAAATTTAATAGTATCGTTTGTCGTAAATTATAAACGGACTTTTGCAATTTATAATTTTACATATTAATTCACCTATGTTATGAGTCTTAAACAACAAGTATCGTTTGTCGTTTAAATCAGCTGTAGATCTTGTTTGACCTTGTTCATTTGCTATTGTCATAAGTAAGGGTCAAGTTCTTGAAGAATATGTGAGAAAAATAAAATATTACATATTTTATTAATGTTCCAGAGAGAACAAGTGCAATCGAAATTATTTGCATAACGTACCAGCCTTCAATAGTTGATTTTCGATTCTTTTTGAAAGTTAATTTTATTAGCTATGTTTTATCATTGCTGCTTTTAAGTAAGAATGTAAACAAGTTGTCATTTCTGTTTCTAGATGAACCAATAGTACCTTATACACATGAGATGGACAGACAAATAGACAGGTATTAGAAATGGTAATAAGAGACCATTTTAGGTTTGTGGTGATAAATAATAGTGTATCCGACTAAACTGGAGCGTGCTCCTAAGAAGCAACAAACATATTTATGCTACTATGTTTGTTTGTTTTTGTTCTTGGTGTATCGATCCATCTCAGCTGATGCAAATTCTTATTATTTCAGTTCTCAGCTATTTAAGTAAGATTCTTTCACTTAGTGAGCTAATGTATCATACATAAGAATTTTGACATTGGTTGGCACGTCTAAGTTTTGTAGAGAAAATTATTTTTCTGTGTATCCAAAATTAAAATATTCATATGTATTTGTATTTATGGCAAAGCTACGAAGACTGTCTGCCGCCATCCGTAATTATAAACTAATGAACAGAGGGTAGATAGCCATGAGCATCGTTTGACCACCCATCTTCTACATTAAAGGACTGACTGATACTCTTATAACACACCAACAGCTTAAAGTGCAGGAAGTGTTTTGCGGTTATCTCAGAGATTCGAAACCGGCTCACCAGCTCCGAAATACGGAGATCAATCACAGGCCTGACAGCAAAAGTTTTATATTTTGTACTTATTTCTACTTCATTTAATACAGTTTTACATTTAGAGGTGTGAACATTCCAAATGCACCATGGATACATTCTTGTACAGTGTCAAAAAAACGACAACATCTCTTTAGTCATTCTAGTGCCGCTTTCCTTTGAAGAGTTCAAGAAAATTTTGCATTCGAAAACTGATCGAGCATATGGTTTTCCATTCTTCATTACTTTATTTTTTGTGACCCTTCCTGCTTTTTAATGTTGTAATTGACACCTATGAAAACTGAAACACAGATATCTTTATACTCGTTAACAGGATCACATAGTTTATCATTAGATTACAATGAACGACTTTTATTTTCAGATAAAATTTACAACGAAATACAACATATATATATTTACACACACGCGCGCATACACACACACACACACACACACACATATATATATACTTTTTTCTTTTTACACGTAAATTGGATATTTTGATCTATTTTTAGTAACTTCTGACAATATAATATGACCTTCACTGTACATAGTATGTAGAAGTAACATTCTGTTTAAACTGGAAAATGAATTGGAATTAAATTGTTTATTTATTTTGTTTAACACAAAGCTATACAATGGGCTATTTGTGCTGTTCCCACCACGCGTATTGAAACCCGGTTATAATATTATAAGCCTTCAGACTTAACGATGAGCCACATAGGGGCGTGGAATTAAATGGATTGAAACTATTCAGTCAACAACTATAAAACAGTGAAAAATAAATAATATCAGGTCACGATACAATCACGTAAACCTGTGGATTTTTGTAATCATATCTCTGTGAAACAATAGTTTGTTCACAATAACTTTATTTTAATATTTATTTAAACAACTACCAAAATACAACAATAATCAACGTCACTGTGTAAAACGAATAAAATAATGTGAAAACTGAACCAAGAAATAACGCGTGAAAGATTTATTTTCATATAGGCAGAATCCACTAAGCCCTATTTGAAGGAGAAGAAAACACACTTAAACAATAAAAACACCACGCTACAATTTCACTTTTACATGAGAAACTGTACCCTCGCTTAAGGATAAGTTTCACTTTTTTTTAATTCATTTTAACGCCCCATATGAAAAATAATTATCATATTGAAGAGTCATTGAGTTTCCAATTAAAGCGGAGATTGTGTTGTCTGAATAATTCACACATATATCACAACAAATGCGAAGACTAATTATCTTAAAGAATTTCAAATATAGCAGTAGTGCGAGTAATAATTCAAAGTAACAAGTGAGATATATATATATATATATATATATACTAT